CATCTGACAAAGAAAGTTGGTATCATTGTCTTCATTTTATGGATAAATTGAGGGTCAGGAAGATGTTATGACCAGGGTAACTTGATAGATCTCTTCCAGATGAAGACATATTCTGTTCCTCATTTGTAATTTGTTCAACAACAGGTGTTCTCTCACTTATGTATAAAACCACTGAAGACAGTGGGACTGTATAGACATTAAAAAAAAAAAAGTTAGCAAATGCTATGCATTTTGTAGCAGTGACTGAGAAGAAAATCACTTAATAGGATTGTTCTCAGTTGTGCCAAAATTCTGGGACCAAACTTTAGAGATGGCTCCTGATAACTGCATTTTTCTTAGAAGTTGAACAAATGAAAAATGATATCTTTAATAGGCAATAACAGAGGAAAATTATAATCTGATGTTCTGTTATTTAAATTACCTTTGTATGTGGATTGTTCCTGTTTTCAGCTCCCTCGCTGGGAGAGATTTAGATATTAGAAGATACAGAATATTATTTTCACCAAGCAATCTAATTTTCCTGTGTTCAATGTCCAGTACACTTTGTGGAAACATTTTAACAAACAGTCACATAAAGTTGAGCTCCCAAGTCCACTCCTGAGCATTTAATGGATTACACTATTTCTCAGAAGTGCTTGGTAGCTAATATTAGAGATACTTATTCCTGTACTTTCAGATTAATCTCTAAATAAAATATCTTTGTAGCCTAGATCTGTTTGTTGTTTTTTTTTTTGTTAGACAAAATTCCTGATGAAATTATAGAGACCTGATTGGTTCATGATTATTTTAGCTCAGAGAAGTAGATATGGATTGGATTATTTATTTTTCACTTGGTTAAAATGTATAAGGAACACTTTATGGTTATGTCATGATGTTAAATCATGACATCAGAGTCTTGCACCGAGTCATTTCATCTGAAGGGATAATATAATTTGACCATATAACACTGGCTATTCTTAGCAGAGATACAAGCCATATTCTCCAGTGCAAGATCTGTGCCCTGAAAAGTGATTAAATAAAAGCAGGAGTGAAATATTTTGCAGATGACTCTGTCAGACTTTAAAACTATATATATCTACATAAATCCTAATGGAAAAATTTATGTCTCATTCCCCGTTTATGTCTTCATTGTCATTAACCTGTCAAACAAAGTATTCTCTACAAATAATAAAAGAGAGAGATTGAGTGAGACAGAGTTCTGCTGACGGTTCAATAGGGTCTTAATCTGTCAACTGAAAAATAAGATTTAGGCTATCAATTCACAGATTGAGATGGCATTAGAAGTTAAAGCAATGGAAGGAAGTTAGTTGTAAATTAATTTTCTGTACTTTCTGACTGTCTTTTCATCTTCCAAGCTGTAGAGAACTGGAGATGGAAACCTGAAAAGGACCTCAAAAGAATTATTTTAAACTATGAGATATATCACATTTTGGTTTAGCTGCTATTATCATATCATAGCAGAGTTAACTTGGAAGAAAATGCAGAAGAGAAATCTACAGGAAGTAAAATGAGACAAAGGTAGGAAACCCAAAGTAACCAGCTATCTCAAGATCTCAGCTGGCAACAGTTCTGTCACCTGCAAAAGATGCTATGCCATCCAACAGTCAATACTTCCTAAGGCAAAAATCTAAATTAAAAGTGATCAGAAACTTTCAAGGCAATCAAAAAATATAGTGGTAAAATCAAGACCTGATAGAGATATTGCAGGAGACCTTAATTTTCTTTGGTGTAAAAAGTGAGAGCCAACCTTAAGAAAACTTGAAAAGCATAGATAGCTTCCGTGAGTGTTTTGCTTCTGCTTTTGTTTTTTCTGGCACATGCTTTGTATTTCTGAGGCCTATATAAATTGTGATTTCTCTTCTAAGATTTAACCATTACTGCTGTACTGATATGTGTTAACATAGGCTTCTGAGAGAAAATGCACGAGCTGGACCTTGTGTTGTGGCATGTCTTGAAATTGAGTGGCCATAGCCCAGAGAATCACTTTGTGCTGTACGGCTCCAAGTGCCAGCAAGGACCATCACCAAAAAAGAGGTTTCCCTCTCTTGTTCCCCTTTATAGGGAATTGAAATGACCATCTTGACAGCTCAGAAAAAGTAGTGTGAACCCTACCTCCACCCTTAGCTTTCCTCCACATCTTCGGTCATGATAAAATAGTTTCAGTGTCAGGGTTTTCTAGAGTCTTCTTTCGACTATTGCAGTTTCTCTGGATTATGTCACTATTTGCTCCTCATCTGAACCACTGTTTTTTGTCTGTCTTTCTTGGTGTATGTAACACTTCCCTTTGAATTAATTCAAGCTGAAAACCAAGCATAGTATGTGAAAGATCACAAATAGCGGCCCTTCCATGAGTACTGTGTACTTGCACCGGGGATGTGTGGGAGGACCAAAGGCAGGAGGACAGATGATGTTTGCAAGTTGTCTTCTGGTAACAGTCCTTGTAGAAACCTGAAATCAGATGGGTGATGTCAATGTATGATGCTGTTGCAAAGCAGGCTGGTGTGCTTAACACTGCCTTGTGAACAGTGTATTCTCTCTATGTAAACAAAGCTAAAGGTAATCACTGTGCAAGCTGTGCAAAGCTGAGCAAAATGCAACACTAAATTAAAGCAAAGCAGAAACAGTGCATAGAATGATGTTTTGGCATTTTTAGAGAAAGGTTTTGAATATTCAACTCTCCTGCAACACAACTGTCACAGAACTGTAATAAACAGTACTAGTATGTATCAGTGTTAAGAAATTGGAAAAAATGTATTGGAAAATATTGTGTTATAAATTAATAATTTTTAATGTGAATCCTCGAATGCGGTAGTGTGATCAATAGTAGTACTGGTACCAAAGAGTACTGGTTCTGCAGCTTTCTTGAGCTGTTATGAATGACGATTTCTTAGCCTAAGAAACTGCATGTAATTTGTGAACCTGTGTGTCTTAGTTTGGTATTGCATGAGAATTACTAGGACTACTCCTGGATACTCAGACTTGCAAAAGAATGGCCTTCCAAAACCATTTTCTCTTCTATTTTCTCTCCAGCATTCTTTCTCTGTTGTAGAATTTGAATGCTGTGATTACATCCCCCATGGCTGTTGCTGCATTGGCTTGTAGCAGCATACCTTGTTATTGAAGCTGAAGAATGGTTTTTCAGGAAAGGAAGGGTAAGCAGGAGGTTGAGCTTTTACAAATGAGACTCCCTTGGTAAAAAAATGACACCAATGTATGCAGCAGACTTTGCCTGCACTGCTGTGTAGACTTGCTATTTCAGTAAAAGCCCACTTGCTGACACCAATCATTTCCATAAAATTTAAGCCGACATCTTTGGGAGAAAAGATTTAATTAACACATAAGCCCCTGAGTCACAGTGACAATCTGCTTTCATAGTGATGGGAATAATCACATTTCTACTCACTAACAGTCCTTGAAATATAGGGGTTTTATGACCAATCTATAGTACATTTTTTTTCATTACAGAAACAGATTATTTTGTTACTTTCACACAAGAACATTTCTGTCTTAGACATCTAGAAAAACTCCAGATTTATCTGGTGCCTTGAGAGGCTACCTCTGCTTGTGTGACAGGAGGTCTCTTGAGCATTTTGGGTTAGTACCATGAAGGGATGCTGAGCAATTCCATTCTGAGATCTACATGAGACATGCCATTATTTAAATAGAGGTGCCTTTAGGGCAGTGTATACAGAACCCAATACAATAAATAAATAAATAAACTGCTCATTGCAGACAATAAATAAAAACGTGGCAATGATTACTGTGATATTAGATTCGGTTAAAAAGCTTTCACTACGAAGCAGAAATAACAGCCTAGGTACACAGCTTTGAAAAAAAAAATATCTTTTTTTCTTCTTAGTCCAGTTGAAAAGATTGTGTCTAATAGTACATACTTTTTTGACACCTCCTTTTCCTACTTGTTATAAATCCTTGAAGGAAAAAATGCAGGACCTTTTTTCCCCTAGGTTAGTCTCATCAAAGATGTTTCTGAATTATCATGGCATAAGTTAGATAAGTATCAAGATTATGAAGTTTAATTTCATGGTCTTTGGGGCTTTATAATGTTGAGAATAATTCTATAATCACAATTTAGATAGAGAATGTTGTATCTGCTGTTCTCACTGGACATTGTTCTATCATTTCCTTGCCTTTTTGCTTTTTTAATACTTTGGGGTTTGATTCCACAGTACCAAAAAACAACTAAACAAGCTATGATCTGTATATTAGGAACAGAATGTTCTCAATGCATCTTTAGAGTTGTAGCAACTCTAATAACCTGAAATTTTTGCAAATATTAATTTTACATCTAGATAAGTGCTTTTTAAGATGATAGCAGTCCTCTTATGTTAGGCTTGATTGCAACCTGTTTTCTAAATTAAAAAATGTAAATGTGGCATTGACAAAGGTTAAAAGGATTCAAAGCGGGTTCTGCAGCAGTGCATCCACACACCAAACTGAATCCTATGTATCTAATCAGTGTCCTCTGGACTGTGTGCCTTACTCCATTGTTTACTTTCAAATCCATAATAATTTTGTATCCCTTCACTGGGTGAAGATTCATTTTAAAAACTAATGAATTTAAAAATACGCTTTTCCCTTGTCCATTTGATACTGAGCCCGCAATTTGACTTTCATTGTTTGTTTCCCTCCTTGTCTCGTCAATCCTTTTCTCTCTTTCTGTCCTTTTACTTTATTACATTTTTTATTGAGGACTGAGATGAACTGGTTGCTGCATCATGGGCCCATTACACTTCCTAACAATTCCATTTACACCTTATTGTTTGTCTTATTGCTGGAAAATTCAGGTGATTCATCATGCCTGAAGAAGCACCTGATCCCAATTCCCTTGGTATCATGATCACTATGTGACAGGAATACAGTTAGTGGTGGCTTTCAGACTCTAACAGGCCAAGGTGATAACTCTTTTGGGACTTTTAGCCTCTCAAGTATTGATGAGTTCCATTTTTGTAATGCTGTATTTTCTTGCTCCCTTTCAACAGCCCCCTGAGTGTGGAAAAGGGCTTGGAGTTAATAAAGGAAGTGGCAGATATCCTGAAGCTGCAGATGAGTGCCTTCGATGATGTCAAGTATGTACATGGAATTTGCCCCTTTTTATTTTATTGGATTTCTCACTGGTTTTGAATAGTTTGTCTTATAAGCAAATCTTAATGTCAGCGTTAATGAGAGTGTGCAATAGACATTAAAGAATATCATGATGATCTTTATAATGTCCTCTACATTTCCTAAGCCTCTGTAGGGAAAAATAATCCCATCCAAGTGCTGTAAAAATATTACCAACCTTATTTAACAGTTTCTAGGTAAGGAAAGTCCTGTGAAGGGTCATTATAGCCAGTGTTGCTGATGGGAGTAATTACATCAGGGATAGATAAGAACTTGGTTTCCTGGCTTTGAATCTGGCATATAGCACACTAGGTCGTGCCGCTTGGTCAGCTACTCATTTAACAAATCACAGGGTGTTCAGCTATGTTGAACTACTGTTTTCCTTATAATCCATACTGGTGATTGCATGTTGATTTCCTGAACTAGGAGATTATGATTTGCCATGTGCGGTAAAAAATTTAGATTAGGGATTTTCTGAAATAATTTTGGGTAGGAACATTTACTTCATAAAACTTAATTCTTCCCTTTTAAAACAGAAGATAAAATTAGTTTGATAGAAAAGTAGTGGAAGAGAAGGGTCAGCTGTGGGAGGGTTTGACAGCTTGCTTGAAAGAAGTCTCATCTTGGTGCACAGAAAATAACTGATGTCTGGGTAGCATCCAGTTCCTGCCTGTGTTTCAGAAGGTTTGGGGCTGCTTGTTTTGGCCCATGAGTCAGGTTGCTGATGAGCAGCATCTTTCTCAGCCTTGCTTGTGCTGCCATCAGCTTTTGTTTAACCTTCAGTTCCCTTGTAACACCATGTTTTAAATCACAATCTGAAGATGCTTCATCTTTGGTGGAAGTGTTTATTACCATCTTGAAAAAAAAATATTTACTCCTCCTACTACTGTAAATGTAGGGAGAAATGGACTACTGCTGAGAAAGTATTCTTAGAAACCTGTCAAATACCAGACATATTAACCTTAGCAGTATAGAAGTTGGTTTTTTTTTTTTCTGAAGCCGTTCTGTGTATTGTTGAATGTTTTTTGCTTGTATTTTATGAAATGTATTTTTTATGAAAACTGAGTTTTGAAATAGCAAAACCCAATAATGTTATATGTCTTGATTGTAAAGAGAATTTGCGTTCTTGATGGAATATTAGCAGATAAAGTCTGCTGCACATTTAAAGGGGTAATCCCATGGAACAATTTCTCTGCTGGAATCAGCTGGTTCTGCTTCATTAAGTTCATTCATTTACAGTATAAAAACACTTTAACCTACCTTTCTAATTGTTAGCATAAAGCCTTTTGGTTATTTTTTATCATTTGATAAATCACAACATTGCAATTGGCAGGCTGTAGATTCATTCTCTAATGAAAAATATGCCTCCAGTGATATTGCTAGCTATGAACAAACTTTTTTTTTAAACGTATGTCATTGGGAAAGCTGCTTATTTTGCATCTATAAATATGCATATGACTGTACTGAAAGTACTTGTATGGTCATTACTTTAAAAGTGTGTTATGACTTACAGTAACTCCAAAGAGGACTGAGCGTTCTGTCTTATCACTTCAATATTTTTAAAAGTATTTTGTATTTTTAAAAATTCTATAAATCTGTTATTTGGGAAGGTTATCCCAAATCTCAAGTGAGTGAAGAATTCATCCATAAACTTTATTTATTCAAGAAAATGAGATTCTGTGACTCAAGTTAAATCTATGAAATGCTAAAGAAATGTGGAGCTGGCCAGTAGATGCAGCTGCAGTAGAAGCTTTAGAAAAAAGCCTTGCCAAGTAAAGAATTAACACTTTTTGGATGTATTCTTTTGTCATCACAGCACAATTACCAGTGGCAAACTTTATAAATCTGAAGACACTTAGCTTCTGAGTGGCTTCTTGGAGACAGGTTTCAGGAAAAAGTTGATGTCGTCTCTATTCCTAATGCACCATTGAGATTTCAAAGCATGAGAATGAGGCCTCTCAGGAAATACAACTTAAGGCATCATGGGTGACTTAGGTTATTTTATTTTACTGGCAAATAAAACTACTCTTTTTCTTAAGGAGTCTTTTTTTCATTTTGGGTTTTTTTTTTTTCATTTTGTTTTTTTCTTTTTTGTTTTTGATGGGACATTATATAGAAAAAGCTACTAGTAAGCCAGAGACCAAGGATTTATGAAAGGGGTGGAAATATAATATACTAGTCTAGTTTGAACTAAGAGCTAATTATTAGCCTGGTGTAAAATTCTTGATTCTCAATTTTCCCTCCAATAATTCTGAATTATAAGAAAGTAATAGCATAGGTCTGATTTTTTTTTTTTTTGACTGCTGCAAAGATTTCAGAATACAGACATCCTTGTCGCTGACATGGACAGTGGGATTGAGCGCGCCCTCGGCAAGTTTGCCGATGACACCAAGCTGTATGGTTCGGTTGATACGCTGGAGGGAAGGAATGCCATCCAGAGGCACCTTGACACGCTTGTGAGGTGGGCTGATGCCAACCTCATGAAGCTTAACCACGCCAAGTGCAAGGTCCTACACCTGGATCAGAGCAATCCCAGGCACAGCTATAGGTTGGGCAGAGAAGATATTCAGAGCAGCCCTGTGGAGAAGGACTTAGGGGTGGTGGTGGTTGAGAAACTTAACAAGAGCCGGCTGCAGTGTGCACTCGCAGCCCAGAAAGCCAACCGTATCCTGGGCTGCATCAAAAGGATTGTGACCAGCAGGTCTTGTGAGACCTCACCTGGAGTATTGTGTGCAGTTCTGGTGTCCTCAACATAAAAAGGACATGGAACTGTTGGAACAAGTCCAGAGGAGGGCCACGAGGATGATCAGGGGACTGCAGCACCTCCTGTGTGGAGACAGGCTGAGAAAGTTGGGGCTGTTCAGCCTGGAGAAGAGAAGGCTGCATGGAGACCTCAATAGCAGCCTTCCAGTATCTGAAGGGGGCCTACAAGGATGCTGGGGAGAGACTCTTCATTAGGGACTGTAGGGATAGGACAAGGGGTAACGGCTTGAAACTTGAGCAGGGGAAGTTTAGATTTGATATAAGGGGGAAGTTTTTTACTGTAAGGGTGGTGAGGCACTGGAATGGGTTGGCCAAGGAGGTTGTGAATGCTCCATCCCTATTGGTGTTCAAGTCCAGGTTGAACAGAGCCTTGGGTGACATGGTTTAGTGTGAGGTTTCCCTGCCCATGGCAGGGGGGTTGAGACTGTATTGTCTTAAGGTCCTTTCCAACCCTAACTATTCTATGATTCTATGATTCTATGTTAATGAGAATCACAAGGTTAATTTGAAAATATAGACAAGGCCATCTTATGAATAAGAATAGCATAAAAAGAACTGAGGAGGAAGGGCTATTCATGAGTTCTGAAGTTCTTTAAATTCTCAATTAAGAGTTCTTGTATTTTCTTAAAAAAAAAAAAAAGTTTAAAGGGACAAATGCATTATTACCTTTAGTTAGTTTTGTCTGGAAATGTCTTTCTTTCTTCCTTCTATTTTTCTTTTTTTCCCTTGCTTTGGAGTTTGGTAAGTGAACAGTTGCTTTTGCCATGGATTCCTACTGATTCCCATATTACTTCTTGATTACTTGAAGCATGGAAGCAATCAGTTTATCTTCTCACTTTCACAATTATGCCAGCTTTAAGGGATAGGTTGCAATTCACAGTATAGCCTCAGGCTTGCCTCCCAGTGCATTCAGTCCACTCCTGCAGTTGGTTTGTTGTCAAGTTTGCACTGACATAAACTTTGCTCACCCTGTGAAGCAGATGAGTGGAAATAGATCTAGGGAATTCATAATTAGAAATATTTCAACATTGAAGAAAAGATCCAACATGTTAGCTGTCAATTTTGGATACAGCCTGGATCTTTATATAAGTAATAGTTATGCTTAATATGTTTTGTTAATGGTTATGTAGCTGTCAAATAAATTCCATTATTTCTTATTACATCATTAGAGTCCATTAAAAGGATATTAGCATGCTGATGTAATTATGCAAGCAGACGTAAAATGACTATAGTTATGATTTTATAATCTAATTATGGGTGTCCAATGCCCCATGTGATTGATTGTTGAACTGGCATCATGGTTTGAAGTCAGATGGATAGTGATGTTAGGAGGGTTTGGGGTTTGTATTTATTAAAAAAAAAACAAAAAAAAACACTCCACAATCTGCAGTGTTTCCCTTCTTCATGTAATTGCTATTCTTCATGCATAAAATAGTACACTTACAAACATGAGAGGTTATAAAGAAACATCCATATATAATAAAAATACTATAATCTGTAAGCTCAGCTGTAAGTGTAGTGGAAAAGACACTCAGAATCCATAGTCAAAACCATTGATTAGAACATAAATGACTTACTTGGTTTTTTATGAGAATATAAATGATTTCTGAATCTTTATAATGTTATCATACTTGAGGAATGTATTGAGAACATTGCTAAGGGGACTTTTCAGCACTAAGCTTAGCTGAATAGCTTTTTCTGGAAAGAAAACAGATTATTCTGATTTCATAGTATTTCAAACTGCATAGCCTACCATTCTCAGTCTCCAGTTAAGAGTAAGATTTTCAGCTGAATATCACATTCTCTGATGGATAGTGCAGTAACACTGATTTTATTCTTTTCCTTCTTATTTCTGTATTTAACCTTGTATGACTTTCCCTATTGCCACTGAAGAACTCTCACTCTAGGTCTCTCTTTTGCCCACATTTTGTTCTACTGCTTTGGCTTCTTCCATCAATTCATCTTAATGGGCATCTTCGTCATTTTTGACTTCTAAAATACCTGAACTCAGAACTCAACTATCCCTTCAGGAGATGTGATAACTTGACCAACAAGTGTGCCTATTTACATATCTAATTTTTCAGTGGAAAACATGTAGCAGGGCACTATATATTAATTGCATAAACTGATGTTTAACTACTGCTGTTGTTGAAGCATATCGAAAGTCTTGTTTTGGTGTTTTTTTTTTTTGTTTGTTTGTTTC